TATCGTGCCCTCCGTGATCCCGCGGCTGTGTCGCCGTTCTATCGTGCCCTCCGTGATCCCGCGGCTGTGTCGCCGTTCTATCGTGCCCTCTGTGATCCCGCGGCTGTGTCGCCGTTCTATGGTGCCCTCCGTGATCCCGCGGCTGTGTCGCCGTTCTATCGTGCCCTCTGTGATCCCGCGGCTGTCGCCGTTCTATCGTGCCCTCTGTGCCCTCTGTGGGCAGGGCTGCTTGGCAGCTGTAATGCAGATGGATGGCCATGTCAGCTGTACTTTTTCACCCACTCCAATTTTGGCAGAAGGTCTCCGTCTTGGGAACGAGGACTGCAGTGACGAAGGGTAGCTGACCCGTCATGGGGATCCAGGGCCTTGATGTGTGTTTGGGTGCTATGTTTTGTGGGGCTTCTTTTTTTCATTTTATTGGGTATCAGGGGCTTTTTTGACATTATTAACCTTCTACCCACTGAATCTCCTGCCAGCTGCACTTTCCTTCATGTTCTGGGTTTATGTTTTTTTATACAGCTGGTGAGTTATTTTTGTTATTTACTTGAAATGTACATGTCAGTTCTGTGCCTTTCTCTGAGGGTTCGAGCAGCATAGGTCTGCCGGGTTACGCCGGCATATCGTGAGTCGGGGTTAATGAAGGGTCTCTTGCAGGTGCCCCAAAGCATTCTGGGACAGTCTACAGTACTAACATATGGGTCCTGTGTCATTTTGACTTATTGTCCAACACTGCTTGCTGAGATACTGGGACTCTGTCTTGGTTGTAGTACATAGTAATATAAGGAGGCTTTAGTGACGGTTGTGTAATTATATTGTCTTAAATTGTGTAGTGTAATTATTGTCTTAAAGTTGTAATTATCCTTCTTGTATATACTTCATCATCCATTTGGATGGAGACACTATGTCAACCATGCAGATATTTTTTATTATTTAATTTTAGGGTTAGCTTTCTGTTCACATCAGAGAGATCTGGCCTTGATTTTCAAATCTCATAAAAGCTAGTATGTTAGGACATTTGCTCGGTCTCCCTGCTTCCTTGCTGGTGAGGGTGTGGGTCAGGAGAGGGTGTGGGCTTCTGCGGAATGCTATTTGCCTGTCTTCAGAATGTTTGGATTCTTCCTCCACAGCTGGTGAGGAGGATCTACAAGGGCATCCCTCTGCAGCTCAGGGGTCAAGTGTGGTGCCTCCTACTGGACATCCCCAAAATTAAGGAGGAGAAGAAGGACTTTTATGAGGTACAGGAACAGCTGTTCAGGCAGATGGGGGTAGGAGGTCATGACCCAAGGTTCAAAGTGAGGAATTAGCTACAGCTAGCTTCTGTCATATTTTTTTAGTGACGGATGAGTTTTATTAAAGTGTTATTTTAATAGCCGTGTTTACAACATATTTCTTTGGTTCACCACTGTCGGTAGAAGCTGAAGTTACGGGCAAGAGGGACTTCGCCGGACATCCGTCAGATCGACCTGGACGTGAACCGCACGTACCGTGACCACATCATGTTCATGCACCGTTATGACGTCAAGTGAGTGCCGCCGTCATGGAAACGTGTTGCCGGCGGAGACTGCTCTGCAGGACAGCTCCTTAAGGGGGCGCTGTACTGAGATGCCTGTATCCATGCCTGCTCTGGCCAAAGATTTAGGGAGTGCGAGAGTCAATTAAACCCCAACCACTTTACCTTGACAACAGTGCTGGTTGCCATAGACAGAAGTCTGCTCTGGAAGAATGCTTCCTTTCAAAGTCGGCTTGAAAGCCAGTGAAAAGAATGAAGTCTCAGTGCTTCACTGTAGTTCCTGGATGTACCAATTTCCTTTGACATGTTTTCAGCCTGGTGTTCTCTGACTGGCAGACTGTTAAGTTCTCGTTTTATCCCTCATCCAGTGTTTAAGTACCTTTTCTGAGGAATTATCGAAAGTCTTCCTTGCTGGAGAATGACTGTGGTGCCAAAGAAGCTGGATAATATATTGTTTCCTGGTACTTTAATAAGATTTTATTTCAAATAGTTTGCATGAGAGACATAGAATTAGGAGAGATGTTTGTTTTGTTAGGGTCTCTGGTTTATATGAGGAGAATAGAGGAGAAATGTTAAACAATGTCCTCCACTGGTCTGTTTGTTTTTCTAGTCTTTTTTTCCTTATCGCAAAATGGGTTTTTCACCCATGAACAGAGCATTGCAGAGCAGAAGCAGACATGCATAGTGGTGGGCATGTTGCATGTTGGTTCGAGACCCACAGAGGAACTTGCTGTTGTACCTTTGGGGAAGCTGGGGACCTGATGTGCAGCATGTAGCTCTCGGGGGTAGGGTTAGGGATCTGTGCCAATGTCCAGAAGGTTAGAGGTTTAGATCCCGCAGCTGGAAGAGTAGTCATATCACACCATTGGACCCTTAATCAAGACTGTTATCACTAACTGTTGCAGGGATGCTGACTGGTCATACTCATTAATCTTCACTTGGACAAAAAAACCTGAACGCTAACATAAAAAGTCTGTTACCAATTTCTAAGGACACAGTACTGTACACTTTGCATGTTAAATTTCTTAGTCATTTCTTATCTAGACCTTTTTGTATAATATACAAACCATCTGAATTATGCTGCTGTATGTGCAAAGTTACTATTGTATACACCAGGAGTGCTACGCTTCGGACCGATTATTAAAAATGCTAAATTAGCGGCACTGAAAAGTTCCTGTGAGAAACGCTGCATAGATTCCACAGAGACAGCTAACATGTAAGTGAGGCTGGGTGCCCAGATAAAGTGTGGCATTGGCTATACCCAAGCCAAGATTTTAATATTATCTATCCCTAATATTTATAGATATCATTTTATGTGAAATGAATCATTTTCAATATTGTTTTTGGCTTATGCTTCATCAATGAGCTGCTGCTATCTTCCAACAAGCCCCAGAAATATTCCCATTTACATGTTCACGGCTAATTCACGAATAGTCTAAACTGCGAATTTGAAATTCGCAAACGTGGACTAGGGTAACTGTACGTGTAAAAATGCTCTGTATAAAGCAAACTGTAAAGATGTGCTTTGGGTGAAAACATAAATTTTCTAAAAAAAAATAAAATAAACAAATAAAACTAAGAAATGAAATATGATTATGAAATCAGCTGTTTCTCTTGTAATATATTATTATACATTCAGTGTTTCTATTTTATTAATGATTTGTCTTGTCACATGAGGACCATACATGTCTGCTGGATGTCACTGCAGCTCAGCAGTGGATGCAGTGATCAGGCCAATTAATTCAAGAAATTAATTTTAAGTATGTAAACATTTGGCACGTCTTACAGTTTGGAAGATAATTATGAGGATTGTTGATTAGAATTTCCCTTGTAGCTTGCATCTGATTGATTGGAGGGAGAGTGCAACAGAGAGTATCGGCCACCGGGGGGCATGATTCAGGCGACGCCCGTGAAGGTGATGCGTTACACCTGCCTTGTGATTCTCTTTCAGGCAGCAGGCCCTGTTCCACGTCCTGACGGCCTACTCCGTGTACAACGCGGTAGGATCAGCACCTGCTACCCTGGGGCATTGTGCATGAACACTAGGGGGCACTTAAGAGCATTAGGAAAGTGTTGTGTTTTTCCATCTCTTCAGTCCTGGGTGGATTGCCTGTCAGTGGCAGAGTACATACTCACACATTACGGGCAGTAGAGAGGATGTATTTATCTACACTGTGTAGTCTTGGCCTGGGGGGGGGGGGGGGGGGGGCCCGGGGCTCTAAATCTGACCAAAGTGAACGCACATGTACAAATGATGACAGAAGAATATTCCAGATGCTCATCGACTTATCCTACAGCAGATAGTGAGAACAGCTGAGAAGATCATTGGAGCCTCTCTTCCCTCCATCACAGACACCTATCGCACCCGCTGCATCCACAAAGCCACCAGCATTGTGCAGGACCCCACACACCCCTCACACACACCACTCACAAACACTACTCACCCTCCTGCCTTCTGGCAAGAGGTACCGGAGCATTCAGGCCCTCACTGCCAGACTGTGCAACAGCTTCTTCCCCCAAGCCGTCAGACTCCTGAACAATCAGAGACCGGACTGATACACACACACACTTTACACAGTCCACTACCTCAATAACAACCTATTGCACTGTTGAACTTTACACATAGCCTGTCTTACTCTTAAGACATGTCTTACTGTCATCTCTTCTATTTCTTCTATTAAACTGTCTTTTGTCTCACTGTTTTTACAATGTATGCACTTTTTGCACACTTGCACTTTATGTAGTCCTGTGTCGATGTAATGTTATATGTAGCACCATGGTCCCGGAGGAACGCTGTCTCCTTTCACTGTGTACTGTATTACTGTATATGGTTCAAATGACAATAAGAAGCCACTTGACTTGACTTGACTTGAGGTTGTGCTCTGAGGAACTCATTGTAAGTTGAAAATACAGTAAATTGGATATGATAAAATTAAATAAATATTGTCAATGAGTAAATCAATACATACACACACACACTAGTAGCCAAAATTTTGGAAACATCTAGCATTTTTGGTATTATGGCTTAAAAATTACTACACAAATATTGGCGGGAATGTTACAAATATCAGACATTGGATGACTAAATAAGTAATTAGACTTACTGAAATTCAGTTCTGCAGTCTCTAAGAATTGGAAGTGTTTCCACAATTTCAGCCACTAGTGTATACAGTATTTATAGTAGAGCTGTCTGGGTACCCTGCCCTGGGTGGATTTTCTTTGTCTCCTGTCTGGTGTGGGATGTGGGAGGGGATGGGGAGGTGCTTGGGAATGTGCACAGTGATGAATGATGTGTTACAGTTGTGGTGGTGGTGTTGGGGGGGCGGTAGATCCCGGGCTCCTGATGTTGCAATGCTGGCGGCGTATTGAACAGGTGCGACGTCCCGCCTCTATCTCCATGCAGGAGGTGGGCTACTGCCAGGGCATGAGTCAGATCACAGCGTTGCTCCTCATCTACATGAACGAGGAGGACGCCTTCTGGGCGCTGGTGAAGCTGCTGTCTGGGCAGAAGCACGCCATGCACGGTATGGCTGCCTCCCAGACTCCTGGCGGATCCCGCGGCGCCACTGAAGCCGTCATTAGGAATTACCGTCAGAGCATTTGACCCGTGGGCCTTTTCTCCTCAGGGTTCTTCATTCCTGGTTTTCCAAAGCTGATGCGGTTTCAGGAGCACCACGACCGTGTTCTGAAAAAGATGATGCCCAAACTCAAGCAGCACCTGGTGAGGAGGGCAGGGAGGTTCTGGAGGGGTTAGAACACTTTCACATCACACATATATGAAATAGATCAGGGGTAAGATTTGAACCCACAACCCATGTAATTGTCAGACTGCAGTACTACCCAAAGACCTGGGTGCTGGGGAAAGGTTGCTGGTGATGAGTGTCTCCTAGGCAGGCTGAGTCAACTCTTAGGGCAGTTTGTGGCTCTGATGGTTAGGACTGATCAGAAGGTCACCGGTTCAAATCCCAAGACCAACAGTGTGATGCTCCTTTTGGGTCCCCGAACAGGGCGCTGGCCAACCTGACTCTTACTCGTGTTTGTGTCAGTGTGTTTCATGAAGAGCAAGACAGGATAAGCAAAAACTCAGGTCCTCCACGGGCACGAATAATTGTCATTATTTTATTCTATTCAATGAACCACCACTCTAACGACATTAAGCTACATTAAGCTATCGTACCCAGTGTTATTATTAAAACTTTCACAAATACTTTACTTACTTTAATAATTTATGCTTCCTGAAAAGTCACTGAATGGATTTGTGATACTAATTAAGCTGAATATTGATTTTTACATCTGCTTGTGCAGATCAGCTCAAACTCTAATATCACATTAGACTTCACAGATGTACTGGCAGTCACACAGCGTCCAGATTTGGGCCCTTCTTTCCCATGAGGGCCCTATGAAAGGAAACAAGATTTTCCAGATCCAGGATGTTAATTATCAATTCCCTTGCGTCTATTTTTGTCCCTCCGCCCAACGATTCTGGTGCACTCCCTGGGGATTTCAGCATGGATGGAATGTCAGATGTAAATTTAATATGGATTTCTGTAAGAGCAACGCAAATCTGGGCTTAGTGTGTAGGAGGGAATATAGGAAGTTAGCACTTAAAATAGCAACAAATTCTTCTCCGGCTACCGTGACTGCTATTTCCGGCATGGTGAAGCTGACTGCATTGGACCAAATCCCCTGCCCAATGCAGTTCTACAAAACCACTAAGGCATCATGGATGTTTGGAGGTGAAGAGTTCAGCCCAGATGGGGAAATAAAGGTGCTTTGGATTGATGTGAGAGATTAAAGTTCAGTGTACTTGAGTCAAAATCAGAGAATGGGACTTTCCATGTTTGTGTGTGACCTCAGGCCTTTGTATAACAATCCCGGTCAGCTCAGCTGTTTATTGGCTATCCAGTATTGATGGGCTGTCCTCCTGTTGCAGTTATTGGTGTTTTCATTGGACATAATCTGTATGGTATGCTTCCTTCACCCCAGGACAATCAAGAAGTGTTCACCAGCCTTTACACCATGAAATGGTTCTTCCAGTGTTTCCTGGACAGGGTGAATATCCTTCCTGCTTCCGTTACCTCCTCATCCTTGTGCCGCCGCTGGTTCTTGGAAAATCTGAGTCAGACTGTTAAAAAATAGCAGACATAGAACGGTAACATGAAGTCAGCTGCTGGTTAATTTGGGAATGAATATGCAGCGCTGATTTTATTGAGTACTGGACAAACTTTAATGAGTTACAACGCTATAGACAATTAAGTCCTTTGTTTCCTCAGAGAGGAAAAACTGCTACACAAAAACACGAAACACATTGTAAATATGGAGATAATTCAGCCATATGATCTCTGTCCTCTCTGATTGCAGACCCCGTTCACCTTGACCCTCAGGATTTGGGACATCTACATCCTGGAAGGGGAACGAGTTCTCTCCACCATGTCCTACACCATACTCAAGCTGCACAAAAGTAAGGGCTCACAGGTTCTCCAAGTCAACTGATCTAAGATATAAAGGTTTTTTTGCACCTTAAAATTGAGACCGGAGGTATATTGGAGGCCTCTGGCTCTGAAAATGAAAGCTCTGTATAGGCAGGGAGTGAAAATGTCAGGATTACGGTGAACTGTCAGTCACTCCCTGGTTTAATGCAAAGGGGTTCTATGGACCAGCCAATGGCAATAAGCAGAAACGGCACATGTTAATCTCACCCGCAGCCCCATTTCTTCTATACCTGAAGCTCTATAAACGTCTTACACTCCCTATAAGCTCAAGCTCAGTAGAATCTTCTCTGGATCTTCACGCCTTAAACCACAAGACTTCTTAAACTCTGCCGATTGTTACTGTAGGTCAGTGGTTCCCAAACTTTCTCTGCAGGGCCCCCCCTTTTCTAGATAGGAACATTATTGAGCCCCCCCCCCATTCAAACTACACAGGTTCGGATTCAAATTTTATTTGAAATACAACTCCCTTTTCTAATTAAGTGAAACAAATGCAATTACAAAATACAAATGGTGCAATTTCACCACTGTGGGAGAAAAAAGAGCAATCAATTAAAAATAAAAGTTCAGCATAAGTTTGAAATTATGCAAATGAAGATTTAAAATTCCTGTTAATATTCATTGGCCTACACAAATTAAAGTTTTACGATTACCGCATTTTGTTTTTGATGATAACCGCAGGTTTCAGCCTATACTATAGGACAAAACAACACTAAATCACACCCATTAATTGATAGTCTCCCTGCACTTCATGTAGAAAATTTTAAACCTCGTTTTTCATGATATGGTTAGATTTTTTTTGTCCGGCGCTGCAAAACGTCGTCACACGTCACCATGTCACATGGTACAAAAACCTTGCAAGAGCAAGACGACTTAAGACAGATCGTACAGCACCTCTCAGCCGGCTGATCAAACTGGAACAGCCTCCGTGACGACACAACTTTGCCCTTATTGGCTGAAGAACGTGACGTTTGTATGACGTTTGTATCCCAGGAAGTTCCGATGCGTTATCTGCTATTTCTCCTGAATATCACGTAAAGCAGTGAGAACTGGATTTCAGTTAATTTACCTGGTAAAATAAAGTTTAAATAAATTACATAAATGCTCTAACAGTACACATAAGTTAGTGGTTTATTTATTGTTAGTTACTGTAATGTTGCGCTGCTTTATTTGTTTAATCATCCAGTCTGTGAAGAGATTATTTTAGGGTGACACATGCCCCTGAGGCTATCCCATTGGTGCGCCCCTCCGCAATACCTCTGCACCCCCCAGTTTGGGAACCACTGCTCTAGGTCACCGTTAATTGTTCTGCATTGTTGTTTGACCCATTTTCCTCCTTGATAAAAGGTTCATAATAATTGCCCCCCCACCAAGTTGCAGCCATTACCCAGGAGAGCAGAATCCAGCGCCCCCTGTTGGTGTGGTTACAGAAAATTATTTCCCAACTCATTTCTGCTAATTAGATCCCAGCCGTGCCTTCTATCAAAGCAGAGCATGGCAATGCTGGCACACTGTCAGCGCAACAGTACTCTGGCAAAGTGCCCACTGGGGGCCTCTTGCTTGGGGGGGGAATCACGCTGAAAGGGCCCCTGTCTTAAATTGGCTTGCGCAGTGCAGAAACTTCTGGTTTCATCATTTTCCATTCTCACCCTCCCATGCATCTTTGTTATTGTTCCTCTCTCCTCACTTTATACATTAATCTCACTTTCCTTTCTCTCTTCTCTTGCGTTGCCTCTCTTTACATTTGTCTGCCTGTCTGGCCTGATGGCTCCATCTCGCATTGGTACCCTTAGGCTGATCATTCTCCCACATTCTTCCCCTTCTCAGTTCAGTTTACCTTGTCTCTGCCTCAGTTTACCTATGTCTGTCTGTGCCTGCCTCAGTATGCCTGTCTATCTGCCTGTCTGTGCCTGCCTCAGTATTCCTGTCTGTCTGCCTGTCTGTGTCTGCCTCAGTATGTCTGTCTGTCTGTGCCCGCCTCAGTGCACTCATGTCTGTCTGTCTGTGCCGCCTCAGTGCACTAATGTCTGTCTGTCTGTGCCCATTTCAGTATGTCAGTCTGTCTGTCTCCACCTCAGTAAGTCTGTCTGTCTGTGCCCACCTCAGTGCACTCATGTCTGTCTGTCTGTGCCCACCTCAGTATGTCAGTCTGTCTGTCTCCACCTCAGTAAGTCTGTCTGTCTGTGCCCACCTCAGTACACTCATGTCTGTCTGTGCCCACCTCAGTACACTCATGTCTGTCTGTGCCCACCTCATACACTCATGTCTGTCTGTGCCCGTGTCGCTCCTTGCATGCCTGTCCTGTACTCCCCTGTTTTACGCCTCCTGTACCCAGCATGCCAGTCCTCCCTTCTGCACATACCCGCATATCCATCCGGTCTCACCCACACTTTCTCGCCTATGCCCCACAGAGCATCTAATGAAGCTCTCCATGGAGGAGCTGGTGGAGTTCCTGCAGGTCACCCTCGCCAAGGACTTCTTCTTCGATGACGACTTTGTCATCGACCAGCTGCAGAACTGCATGTCGGAGCTGAGGCGTTCCAAATTGGAGCTGCCCGCCCCAGGTACTGTTCACCTCCCCCCAATGCTGGGAATATAAAGCCATAGCAGCACATTCTACTGCAGGTTCAGCCACATGACTTCAGCTGCTTGTTGTGTTCACAGAATTTATACCCTAGTTATTATCTTGTTGACTCATGTCAGCTCTGATTATACATTAACTGTTAAACCCATGGGAACTCCCTGTCCTACACACTGGGAGTGACATCCGGTGAAGGGGCTGACACTCATATAACACATTCAAACTTCTACAACCTAGCATCATCCCAAAGCCATTCAAGACACTGACCAGTCATTGAACAGTTGGCAGTATAGACTCCTCTCTGAGCCCAGTATTACTATTCATCACAATTAATGCAAACTAACACTTTAAGACTGTAACATGTGCTGTAACATTTGCTAACTTCCTGTGCAAGCTGTGCTGGCTTCCTGTGTAAGCTTTACTAAGTATCTGTCTGTGTAGACCTTTTGAAGATCTTTTAAGCTCAGCAGCTGTATGGTCATTGTATGTAGACCCGCCCCTTTAGAGGCTGCTAACACTTAACTTAACATGCAGTTTAATCACTTTGCTCTGTCTCTCGTTGTCTCCTTTTCCACCAATCGCAACCAGCCAACAAAACAGTGGGTGGAGCCCAAATCCACTCCTACAACAGCAACCGGTGGGCAAACTTCACAACCCCTCCTCCCAGCTCATCTGTTTGTCAATCCATCTGTCCATCCATTTGATTGACAGCATCAGGGCTCCCACTTCCCACCCCCAAGCGAACATATAATTTTCCTTGCATTTTATAAACACTGCTGCCTCCTGTCCTCTCCTGTCCCCTAATACTAGATTCTGACAGTGATACTGTATTATGATTCATAATGATGAGATTCTAGAAAACATTTACTTGTGCCATTAGGGTTGGGCAACATAAAAAATACATCAATTTATCATCATATAAAATTTAAATGATAAGAAAATGTCGATAAATTGTCAATAAGGATTAGCATTGCTTGCTAGCACACATCAGCCTATCACATCACAAAACGAATGCAATTCCAACCAATCATACAGTAGTCTTTTAAGAAGGGACATCCCATGCCCAATAAATGCACAGTAAGGTTTACTGAGTTAGCAGAGCACACCACCTACTCCTGTTTTGGTAATACATGGTAGAGATTAGCAATCCCTCTGAGGAAACTTCGGTGTCGGTGAAGGAAGCATCAACTCAGCAGCCACTTCTTATAAATATGGGGATATTGCAGATGAACAAAGTAAAAAGATGTTTGTGGTGTGGCAGTTCTTTGGCACTTTGAAGTCCCCCACACAGCACACTGGTGCTGCGTAGTGTAAACCCTGCCAAAACCTCTGCCAACTAAAGCTGGAAATACTGTAATCCTATTTTACCACCGGCAACTTTGACACCCATTAGAACATACACAATGCAAGCTTACAGTCAAAGACACCAGCAATTAGAGTTTCCACTTGTAATGTGAAGAAATATGTGACCCCCCGCCCCACCCCCGGTTATCTGTTTCTGCTCCAGCTCTCCCCCTGATACACACCCCTGCTGAACCCAACACGCCTTACAGTGTGACTGGACAATGCATTGTTCTAGGTCGGTAATAGCGTTTGTTGCAAGGCAGCTTGATTATTTGTAAAATGAACTATAGATAGTAACTGCAGGCCGCCTGTATAGGTTTGTTAAAGAAACTATAGACAGTTAACTATACACAGAAATTAGCAGCCCAGCATCTGATCCTCATACATGGTGAAAGTGAAGCCATGTGGCCCAGTGTCTGATCCTCATGGAAGCTGAAAGTGAAGCACTGTGGCCCAGTGTCTGATCCTCATGAAAGGTGAAAGTGAAGCACTTTGGCACAGTGTCTGATCCTCATGGATAGTGAAAGTGAAGCACTGTGGCCCAGTGTCTGATCCTCACGGAAGGTGAAAGTGAAGCACTGTGGCCCAGTGTCTGACCCTCATGGAAGGTGAAAGTGAAGCCATATGGCCCAGTGTCTGATCCTCATGGAAGGTGAAAGTGAAGCCATATGGCCCAGTGTCTGATCCTCATGGAAGGTGAAAGTGAAGCACTTTGGCCCAGTGTCTGATCCTCATGGAAGGTGTGTGTGTGAGGGGGGGGGGGTGAATTGGGATTACTGCAACGACTTTGTACAGCCTGGAATAGGCTGTGTTTGATCCACCCTCTCCTTGACCTTGCTGATGGTCCTGCCTCGCTGGTGTTTTTCTCTGTCTGCCAGTTGCCGCCTTCCCCCTAGTTTTATTTTCCGACGGGCTCCAGATGTCGGCTGTGCTTTTGTGAGCTCGCCCAGAGCACATGCCTGTTTCAGTTGCAGGCTAATAGCACCAAAACAGCCTAGCGTGCATAACCGACACCAGTTTTGAAGGGTTTCCTTGTACTTTATCAAAAGTCTACATAAAGGCTGATGTGGCTCCTGATTCCAGACCATTCCTGAAAACTCCCTGCAAATCTCATCCCATTTCTCAACGCTCTCCAGAAGATGGAAAATGAAAGAAAAATCAATCTGCAATGTGATATGAAGTACCAGCTCAACATTGTACAATATAGATATTTCAATATAACTGCTGAGCACAAGTATTTTTTCTTTTTTTGCAAAGTACATGCTGGCTCTCTTTCTGCATAATACTCATCATGGTTGATGCTCATGTTGGTGTTCTTGCCCAGGTCCTCCAAAGGCCTTGAGGTTGCGGGTATTATGATGGCACCTGTATTTTGCCTAATAATTAATAGATACATCTTCAGTCACACTGTTCGATATGACTGGAGAGATGAAATTCCCACAATGCAAAGTGCTGTTTAAACGATACAGAAATAACGTGCATCAGTGAAGTGCAGTTTGTGCAGTTTCTTGCACACTCCCACTCACACACAAACACTTTGATGCAACACCTGCAGTAAGCCAGCACTGCCTTGCAGAATACTCTCTGGCCCTTTTCAGGCCTGGCTGTCTCAGCTCGCCTTTCACCCACTCCCACACAGCTTCAGGGGTACTAACAGACGACCTGATTGTGGCATGGAAGCCTTCATGGTCTCCGGCCTACTTGATGTTTTTTTTTAACTGCAGGCGTGATACTCACAACCAGCTGGGAGAAAATCCTACAACAAATTGAACGTGATCGTAGTTGGCCTGCAAACCAACGCCAAAGTCACAAATACCATTTTTCACTAACGTTGAAGCCCAAATAGTGGCATAAGTGTCCAAATATGAAAGACAAGTGAATACTTTGTCTACTTGGCTTTACTGAATGGATAGTTCCAGCTAACAAATGACTTAGCATTAGCACTGTGTTTTGGGAGATGATGTGATTTGTTCTGTGACAGAGTAAACTATCAGCAATAGTTAACGGGCCAGCTGATTCACCTGTCTTCATCTTCAGGTAAAACACTGGATGGAGGGTGAATGTGGCATATCAAATATACCTTAACTGGCTATAAATTAACATGATACGTTACCTTCTAGGATTGGACTCAGAGTTGACGTCATACATTTTGGCATCAGTTTCGAACTCCATATCGCCTAACTTCAACCTTAGGTGAAATTGTAGATAAATAACGTTACTAATCAAATTTACTGTAACTGGACAGAAATGCACATTAACATTACTGGAAGTTACCTTTTGGCATCAGAGATTTTCATTTTTTGTCACAGCTTCAAAGAGATAAGCCACGATTGAATGATCAAGCAGCACTGGAAGTGTCGACTGGCCTTAAACTTTTGACATGGTTCGAAGGCTTCAACAAGGGTGTGTTTTGGGGCAAAAGCTGGTGCAGAAAAAGTGCAGCCAGGTCTGACAGGGGGCAAATCATAAAACACAGGACAAATCGCGTCCTGTATTGCTTTAAAAATTGGAAACAGCACTTTATTTTTCGGTACAGGACAATTCTGTAAAATACCAGAAGTGGGGCAGTTCAACCAGAATTGTCGAAACACGTCCCTTGGAATGAGCAGCAAGACAGCCAAAGAAAAAGCCCAGCAAGAAACTCTACTGTCAGCATTTTCTAGTGTTATGCCTAGTGACAAAAAGTATTTTGAATGATTCATTTATAAAAATCACATTTCAGTTTACACTCCAAGAATCTGAATCTGCTTCAGGGGAATCCTAAGGGAATTTTAAGCAAAAGTGGAGCACTGACATAAAGAAATAATAACTTGAATTATATTGTGATAAATTTCAATGTCGACAGATATGAAAAAAAAACTGTAGTAAAATACTTTGTTATATCGCCTAGCCCTATGTGCCATGTACACTTGCAAAGACTGTAAACCTGAAAAAAAAACATTTTTGGAATTTAAATTTTTCTTAAAGTAATTTTTTTTTTCATGAAAACTAAAAGAAAGAAAAAGTGTCTATTATCAGCTACCAAATGTGCTTGAGTATTAGGACTGAGTTAAGTATCATGCTGCCAAATATTAACGTGATTTTAAATAGGTAAATAGGTGCATCTGTGTTCAGGGAGCTGCATGTCAACACACATTACTTCCTGTCTGTTCCACTTCTTGTTGCCCTAAGTGGGTAAGTGTGGCCCTCCCAGAACGTGCCGCCGTGTGGGTTCTGTGCCACCTTTTCAGTGTGGCGTGTAATGGCTACTTCATTCTGGAATCCCAAGCATATTGCAAAATACAATGTTTTTTTTTTTTACATGAATATAAACTTCATGTAAACCACAAATGTAATGTTTTTTTTGGAAACTTCTTAAATTTATTACTTGAACCCCCACCCCCCAAGTTTGTTACTTGAAATGACACTGAAGATAGACTAAAGAATTATCTGACTTTTAACCCCCCCCAGGTAAAGAGGATGAGTTTCCGAAGAAGCCCATGGGGCAACTACCCCCCGAGCCCCCAGCCTCTGTTAAGCACATAATCAATGGGCAAAGCCTCAACATCCAGCGGAGGGCGGAGCTGAATCCAGCAGCCGGAGTCTCCCTGGAGCCGAGGACGGATCTAGGGGTGGAGTCTGAGCACCAGAAGGAGCGCCGGGCCAGCAGCCGGGCGAGGAGGGATTCTCTGGAGCGACTTGTGCGCCAACACAGGGCAGAGAAGAAGGAAGCTCTCTCTGGGATGACTGTGGAGGCGGAGCCTGGAAGACAGCAGCCAATCCCAGGCCAGGCAGCGTCTCAGGCTGCTGCAGCAGCCACCACTAAGTCACTAGACCATACCTTGGCCAACCATAACTCCAGTGTGACTTCCGGTACACACAGGGACATTACGCCCCGTTGGGTGAAGCCCTCCGAGGACAAGCTGGCGGAGGTTGGAAGGGGACTTGCCCTGTCCTCCGGTCAGGGTGGTTTGCTGCTGCCCTCGCTGAATGGAACTGAGGATTCCCATTCTAACCAGCGCTGGCCAGCTTCCAGGTCCCGCTTCTTCCGGCCACGATTCAATCGGGGCTCAAATGCCTCACAGTACGACAATGTGAGTGAGTCCGAGTTGGAAAGCCCAGTACAAGACGAGATGGAGGGACCGCCCGGCCGGACTATTCGAGAAGACAGGCAGCCTCTGCAGAAAAGCAACCCAACCCAAGCTCCCGGGAGCTCCAGAACCAGGCCACAGCCCCAGAAACATGAGTATCAGGTTGATGGGCAGACCCAAAGGCTGGTGGAGTGTTCTGGTTCCTCCTCATCCCAGCATCCTCCAGCACAGCACAGGCTACAGGAGCAGCAGCATAATGCAAGCCTAGAAGAGCACCCTTACGGCCGCGCCCTACGCCCGAACATGCGACCTTCCCTCAATACAGCCTCCACAAGCGCCTTCTACACTAGTCAACCTACTGGGTCCCCTCCAGCACCGTCAGGGCACAGTGCCCAGCTAGACAGCACCTACCTGACACAGCCTACCAAACCTGTTGGCATGTCCACCTACAATCCCAGGGTTGACCACGGACAGGAGGGTTGCATAGCACAGCCAGCACTCCGCAGGCCAGAGTGGCTGGGAGGTGGCAGGGAGTCAGCGGGCCTCACCGCCGAGAATACCCATCCGCCGTGGACCATTCCTAAGTCACCCAGGTTCCAGAAGGCACAAACGTCCCCAGTGCAAGAGTTCAACTGCCCTGTTGGGACAGAGGGCCCTCTCCGATACAGGGCACAGTATCAGCAACCGGTGCCCCCAGTGTACGGAGGACCACGCTACAGGCACACTCAAGATCCATTCGCTATGCAGGAGTCCATGTTGATCTGAAACACAGCCGGGACAAAATATTGCGATTTTTCTGGTTTATATAACATCTTTTCCGAAGCTGTGTTGGAACACCATTAGCTTTTGTGGATAGTATTTTGAACTGACTGATTTTTTTTGTCCTTAAGTGATTGTTGGTAATTAACAGCAGTGCAGTTAATTTTCTGTGCTGTCATAATTTTAAAAGAAATGTACAGTAAGACTAACTTTAATATACTGAACCATTTACAGGTTCATTGCTGACACTGAGGGCATACCCTGCATATTTGTGTCTGTGTGTGTGTGTGTGTGTGTGTGTGTGTGTATATATATATATATATATATATATATATATATATATTCTCACACACACACCTTTATTATTTTTACTGGGTTTTATTCAGATGTCTAATTGAGAGGTGAGTTTATTTTATATGGAAATATATTTTTCCCCCGAATCGGAAATAAAATATAGTTTCAGTGTTATTGTAGCTCAGTAGTTTCAAATACTGTCCTATTTCAGTCATGTTTCCACAGCTCGCATCAGCCCTGTAATCTTACAGATCAAATTAAGATGTAGTAAAGATGCCGCTTTTTGATGGTGAAAATATATATTCATTTAATCACGAAGTATCTTTAGCTGACAAGCGAACATTGTTCAGTCCCTTTCTATAGCCCGCATATTTTCTGCTGACTCCCTTGAAGATAGTGTACTAATCTGTCTAGATGTTCCCAGTTCAATTACTCTCACTGCCTGATGCTGAACTCTAGATCATTATTGTTATTTTTATCTGAAGAGTAAACAGGATATTTTTCCCCCTTAAGTACCAATAATGATGTGCTGTAGACTCAAACTAGATGCTAAAACAATGTTACAGACCCATAATATAGACTAAATTATTATGATATTGCAGTTTGCATTTTACAGTATGTGTAACAGATTATAAATATCAGAAAGATGTCTGGGTACACTAACCACAATCGGAGTTTTCTGAGTAAATTGTAAGTGCAGGTGTCTGTATCTAACATAGGCTATATAAATTAACATGTGTTTGTTAATTATCCATATTCACACAGAACTGACAGATCACTGGTAATACAGTAGTTAGACTTCACTTTTTGATTAAATTAGATTTTACTGTCATAATTCATAACTTAGATTATACTGTGTCATGATTCAAACCTATAAATGAGGGAAAATGGATTAGAGTTTTCGACTTTTATAAAAGTGATCATGATAATCCATGTCAGAAGGGTTGATTGAAATGTTAGTTTACAAACCCTGTCGTAGCTCAGTGTCCTCCCTGGCATGGAGCTGATCACATTAACTTTTATTTTTCTGAAATATGACAGTAAGTAGGCCTTTGTGAGAAGAGTCAGTGCCCTTTCCTTAAAAGGATGTTTAAGACGCTACACTCATTTAAGGCAGACTATAGCATATTTTGACTATAGCATGTTTCCTGTTGGTTTAATTCTTATGCAAATCAGAAACAGCCCTACACTTGTGTGGTTCACGAACTAGTAGTTCCTTTTGAATTATTCCTTTAAGTGAACGAAATAATCTTGGTTGTTTAGCCGATTCCTGCATTTTTCTATACCTGCCAATGAGAAAACATCAAAGCACACAACAAAGGAAAAGTCAGCAACTCTAAACGAATCCTATAGTCGAACAAACTCATAAGAGCTGATTCATTGAAAGGAAGTACGGCTCCAGACACTAACTAGCAAACACTGTCTGTGTCTTCTAACCTCCCCCCACCCCCCAGGGAGGCCGGGACATTGACTTATTTATCTAACCAGCTGGTCGGTTTATGGCCGGTGTTCCTTCCTGCTGTATCCCTGCCATATCGTTTTTTATGCAGGATTTTTGACCAGGTAGATTGTAACACACATATGCAGGATGAAAATGCAAACATTAGTGTTTGTATATAGATTTTACTATAAACATCTTATTCCAAATCAGTACTGGTGTTATTCCTCCTTTCATTAATCCCGGGACTGTATTAACAACTGGAGCATGCTGTACTGTGTCCAATTAGCAATTCCTGACACGCTTCATGCACTCCATGTTTTTTTTCCGCTGATCTGTGTTGCGCAGGTCATTATGGGTACGGAGTTCTGTGAACCGTGACTGAACTGCTACGGTATAGCCTCGGTATAATGCAGAAACCAGTAAGGCTAGTTTCTAAAGGTAGGTGTGTTTAGCCAAAGGGGTTTTGCCATTTCCACTGCTAAAATACAAGGGAAACATACATGGGCGCTATTTGCATTCTTCAAAGCCGTTTGTAATGTGTAAAATCCGGCTATGTAGTTTTGTTTCTCTTCATTATATTTGTAACTATTTTAATTTACCTTGTAGCCAGTAACCATTCATCAACGAACTGAATACCACTAATGACACCCGACTCATTAAACCATATATATATATCAATAAACCTGAAATTCCAATTTTGATTGTATATTCCTGAGCTACAATGGTGACCGAATTGTACCCAAACTGACATTCATTACATTACATTACATTCACTTGCATTATACCGAGACTGTAATCTTCCATTTACTCATTTACCCAAAGTGACTCACAAGCTGAATATTTACTGCAGCCAAGTAGACTGGGTGCCTTGATAGAGAGGGTGAGAGAAGGTGCTCTTTCCGGGACCCACCACACACCAAACACCTTAGCACCACTGCGAAAATGGACAGCAATCAATGCCAAATCTCATTAGGAAACTGGAGATGTGTGCCGGGACGAAAATGTTGTATCTTACGAGGTTTTATGGAATGTGTATTGTGACTGAAGCGAGGTGAAATGCCGATTTGTGTGGTTTGAGTTCAGATGAGTGTCGAGTACTTGATTTGTAACAAGTTTTTTTATGTGAATGCTAGGCACTTCCAAGGGAGAACTGTGTCCTAATGAATAAAACACCTTTATTGCATGGTCTGTTTATTGAATTCATGTTAGATGCATCACAATTGGGAAACCTTATACAGTATAGCTAAAATATGGTCATAAATATTATTTTTATCTTGATGCCCAGATTTGATTTTTGGCCACTGTAGGTTATCACAATAACAAAATTATCACAGTTAATGACTAAAGGTCTGGAAAATATATGATTTTCATTTCTTTTCATGCACTGTAATTTATAAAATGGAAAATTTTGTGAGTCTTGTAGATTAGGATTATTAAATTTCAAAGAACAAGGCAGCATTAACACATATATATCATTGTCAACTGGAAAACTGCAGTACCTTCGATGTGAGGATATACAAAGCATAGGAAATCAAAAAAGAGAGTTTTCCGTTAAGATTTACACTGTATGCATGCATTTTTAAATAGTGTTATTCCCATGTTAATATACTGATGCTTTAATTATTTGGTCCTGGCATCTAAACAATCACAATTAAAAATATAGATGTATTCTATATAAAATATGTATATGTAAACCCCCCCCCCCCCTTTGGGTGGCTCAGTGGGCAGTCCTGTCCCCTCACACCTCCTGGCTTGGGGGTTTGAATCCCACATGTCAGTTTCCTGGTCAGACTTCCTCTGGCACTCTGAAAGACATGCAGTTAGGATAATTGTTGTGGTTGGATGATGGACTGATAATATGCTATAGCAGAAGTTCCCTTTAACTTTGTAATCCTTTTCAACTGCTATGACTTTTGTCCAATTTTTACTTTGCAGTTATGTTACCCGTCTTATTCATGTTGGCTTTTGACGCTTCTTGCTTGTCTGGTTCTGGTGTGGAATCTACTGTTTACTTTCAGGTCCAGAGATCATGCTGAGATGCAGATCATTAGAAACCGTGCTTCGCTCGTTAGGGCCTCGTTAGCAGTTGTCCGTTGGCTCCATTCCTAGTATAATTGTTTATAATAAAGGTGTATGCAAGATTTTCTTTTATTTTTTGCTTTATTTTTTATTCATCTTTAGTTTTGCTGCTTTAAATAGTGGTTTGTTTTGCTGCTATGAATGTTGAAGCGAGCAGTGTGGCCTTGACAGATGGACCCTTGCCTTTTGTTGCTAATGTGGCTGTTAGGCAGCACTACTATGGTGAAAAGCATGGTCAGCCATTTTAATAGGCTAATTGTCCAGGATATGTAGTACCCTCATTAGCCAGCGCTACATTCTGATGGCTCTGTCTGTTAGCAGCAGCTGTGACACCCAGTGGCAGTTCTGGTATACTTGAGCCATCTACTCAGATGTGCAGTTGTGCAGATTCCCTGTGGTGTGTCTTCAATGATGCCATCCTGGGAAATTGGCCCTTGTCTGGATCTGCCCGTAACAGCACCACTGGAAAGATGCCTTCCCATATCCAAGGTACGTTCGATCCTTAAATCAGGAGAAAAATGTATATAAATTGGCCACCAGGGGGAATCGTTTCACCAATTTTGTGGTTCAAGCAATGTGAACGAGCTTTGTTCATGTTTAAAACTTACCTGAGTTTTTTTTTTTTTTTAATCGTTAAGGACGCTTGGGAATTTAAATAGGATGGGGGCCACATCAGCCCGTATGATTTTGTTTCTCGATTAGTGAACTATTGCACTAAGAACTTCTTGGGTTGACAGTTTTTGGCTGTAATATTTAAATCACAGATTTTGTTCCATGACGTTTAGGTGAAGTATGAAATAAATTAGTGTATTTTTGTTACTTGTTGAGAAATGTAAGAATCTGTCTCTCAAACGCTTATAATGTAGAATAGCGGGGAAATAGAATAATATTTCTTAATAAACAACGTGTTCCGCTGTGAACAAAATTTTGTGCAGTACTTTTAAAATCTCACTAGATGACTCTAACTCAGTGCGGAGCAAAAACCACTGGCCGTTAGCCTCGGGTGTCACGTTTCAGATTTCCTTTTATTTCCTTTAGGCCTATTGTCGTTTTAAGTGTAGTTGCATGCATTCAAAAAAAAAAAGAAACTTTTCCCTCAGACCGAACATTACTGTAATATACAATGTAAAATATCACAATAATAAGAAGAGTAGGTGGAAAATATTAAAAATATAGAAATAGTTGAATAAATAGGCTACATTCAAAAAAGTTAGTCGCCAAAGTGTCCAGTATTAAAGTGACCAGTGTTGAGAGGGTTGGTTATTGGAGTTTGGGAGAGGAATCTGTACAGCAGCCGGCTGGTCCTAGTTTGGATGCACCTGTACCTTGTGCAGGAGAGAGGATAGGCTGGATCTCTGGTAATGTTGGGGGACCTGCCAGTGAAGAGTTGGTGAGAGGGCAAAGGAGCACCAATGATCTTTTCAACTGACTTCACTATCCTGTTTATGTTGGTGCTGTTTGAAAGCATTGCCATTACCAAACCAGGAGTAATGCACTAAGTCAGTACAGAGTACAAGGGGCGGGGAGGGGAGGTTTGCCCTCTAGGAGTCGCTATTGCGCCTTCTTAATGACGGCCGTGGATGAAGTCAGGTTCTCTGTCTGGGACACCCCCCCCCCCAAAGAACTTAATGCTGCTGTTTGGGTGGCGTCGCTCTATTCCAATCGTCTCTCCATGCAGAAGAATCATCACAATATAAATTGAATGTTATAAAAGATCAAAAAGGCCGTTTCTTAAATGGAAATTAATCTCTAATGTAGAATATGAGCACTAGACATCAATTAAACAGCGTTATGTTAGAGTGTGATCTAGTGTAATGGCAGGGAACAACCCAGACAGGGCGGCAGCCCATCGCAGGGCACGTAGCCTACATGTAATGGTTATAATAACACACATGATTTAAATGTTTCGCGAGGTTGCTCGTCACACTCACTATCTGCGGCCAAAATTCACCATACAGTAAGTCATACCTGTATAAAATAAAGACATGTTGAATGTGAATTAACACTTGCTGTAAAATAATTCCTTGTAGAAAATCCACAAAAGAACGGATTGTGGAAACTTAGAGAAATATGATGTCGTAAGCAAAATATGATTGATGTAATGGCGAGGGTGGAGGCTCGTGTTCCTGCGCCGCTTTCGAAATGGAAGGAGCGCCTCTCGTGTTGCTCCAGAATCCAGGAGGAGCTTGTCACGGTATTTAAATGTTTTTTTTTTCTTTTTTATGAAGCTTTAGAGCAGTAAAGTACGCAAGAGTATTTCCTCTAGGAGGACTTACATATAATTTTCAAAAATTAATTTCTTTGTGTGAGAACGCTGAAGATCCTATACGACTCCTATACAATAATAAGAAGTTTAAGAAAAGAGAGAGAAAACGAAAGGTACAAACTGAGATGTAAGTATCTTTATAATGCCTTTGACCAAACATGTAAATTTCATGTATTTCAGCAATTCATGGAATGGGTTTAAATGAGATGCGTGTTTATCTAATACAGTTGTGTGAGCTGACCACATCATTACTTATCACCTAACAGATGTCCGAAAATAGTCGTAATATTGAAATACATATTTCAAGAAGTCTGTGTATATGCAGCCTACCCATGACCCCTGCTGAAAGTTTGGCTTCCCGGTCAGTCGGCTTCCTCGGCTGTTCCCAGGGGTCCCCCGAAGCGGGCTGAGTGTGGAGACACTAGCCTCGTCTTTCTGAAATCACTTATTCAGACCTATTGTTACACGTCAGATCACAATTAGGCTACTGCTGGTTATATGCGCTGCCAGTAGAATCTCAGCGGCGGGGAAACCGAGAAAGGGCGGGGGGTGTCTGCTTCAACTATGTCAGCCGGAGAGTGAAAAAATTGACAGTAACAAAAATTATCTTACCGTCTACGTGCAATTGTTAACGTAACGTAAAATATTCATTTTAAAATGGTAGTCTAAGTTTTCAGCGTAGTTTTAGGGTTATGGAGATTTGAAACAAATTAATATTTTGTTTCTTGGCTGTATAGTAATAGTTCCTACAAACTTTAATGTTCAGAAAAAAAAACATTCTTTGAGATATTTAACGATACATATCGTTATTTGAACACGTATCGTTGTTTGAACAGGCAGTGCCAGTGGTTATGCAGTTACGTGTTTTTATTGATAAATGCATTTTTCATTGCCTATTTTTTCTGGATGGAGAAAAAAAAATGTATGTCTTCGTTTAATTTACTTATTTTTTCTTCTTTTTTGAAAAAGAAAAGAGATGCGATATTCTTTGGCGTGAGAAGTGACCTGCGGCGGCGCCTAGTCAGGAGCTGCTTTTAGAATTAAAAATAAAAAACCCCTTTCGTGAGAAGCCGGAAAAGCCGCAAGGCCACCGCACGCAATCAATGGACTTACATGTGCCTGCCGCCGGCTCCCGGTATGGAGGCGGCTGGGCTGCCCAGAATGGCAGAGGGAACACCCAAAACCGCACCAGGCCCGCTGTAAGTCTGTGCTTATTTCCCAGATCACAGACAAACGACTGTTCTTTTTACTTTCACATGTTTTCCTATCTGGAAGAGTTTTAGACTGCTTCTCAGCCAATTTGTAGCGAGTTTCTGTAACAGACGAAGCCTTTCAAGTCTATTATGTATAATTTCTCTGATAGTGCAAGCAGGAAAAGACCGGATTTAAAGGAATAATCCGAGATTAACGATTAAACTGTTGTTCACCATGATGTAATAACAAACAAGGTTAGTGTATCTGTCAGTGTGTGATAAAACGATCCTGATTTTTGTTTAAACAGTGATTCTGTTTGTGTGCCTTGGAGTGTCTGCTAATATTAATTTGCAGATTAATTTAGTGGCTGAATGACACCACAGTACACACTTGCAGCTTTCTTTGCCGTTGTTCACTACTGAATGCTTAAATCAGTGGTAATTCATGTTTCATAATATAATATCCAATGCAGTGCCATATAGACTATCCTGTAATGGCCAGGCCATTACAGGGCATATACCTACTTGAGCTCATTTGTTTTCCCCAGTCTCTCAAGCAAGCAAAAATCATATCATAGTTCAATATCAGCAGTACAGATACCCAGACTAGGGTGTCCCCTACTTCCTGCCCTGGGATAGCCTTCAGGTGACATCAGTCAGGGCCTCTTAACTCATGTCAGCTTCAGGGAAGATACCTGCCTTCCGTCTCTTCCATCATGTTGAGGGCTTCACCTCAGGGTATTTTGTTAGACTCTGGGGTCCAGTGATCACCCTGTCAGCAGGTGAATCTCCCAAAGGGGACATCAAAGGA